GTGTCGGTGTCGGTGTCGGTGTCGGTGTCGGTGTCGGTGTCGGTGTCGTGTGGTGTTGTGTTGTGTTGTGTTGTGTTGTGTTGTGTTGTGTTGTGTTGTGTTGTTGTGGTGTGGTGTGGTGTGGTGTGGTGTGGCGTGGCGTGGCGTGGCGTGGTGTGGTGTGTGTGTATGGGTTTTAGCGCGGAGTATATATGGAACCCTGTAATTGCTTCTGGAGCGGGCCTGTTCCAGAGATCGGAATTCCTACTTTCCTATCTACCTGAATCTCTGAGCACCCATGTTGCTGAAGGGATTAAGGATCAGGCCTTGCACGCAAGCGATGTGAGTAGTCTGTAAGGATTTGAGATTTGTGTAGATATTGAAGCTGTTCAGTCTGGAGGCTTTGGGGTTAACGTTAGAGAGATGGCATGTAAGCCTTTCAAGCTGGATTCAGGGTTTGCTGGTCCTGTTGGTGTGAGGTCGTAATGAAACTGTACGTGGGGACCACCATGGCTGTGTCTGGAATGTATCAGACAAGAGCACAATTTGCGGTCATTTGCCTGCGCAAGTGCAAATCCATTCTGACAACAGCAGCTAGCAATTTGTTAGTACCAAACTGACCTTTTGGCCGGATGATGTTCTCAGTAACCATTCACGGATACCCTGCATGATAAGCACGAGCAACACTGCAAAGAAAAGAGAAGACGAAGCCGACTGACCGGAAGACCCTTCTGCCCGAACGCGATCCGAAAGCTCTGCCCGAACCTGGCATAGTGCCCTTCGGTGAAGGGACGCGAGCCCCGAAATCTGCTACCTGCCCCGGCGACCAGCTGAACACTTTGGATCTTACAATCTTTGTACGGCTCCAACATTGATTTACCGCAAAACACAAGCATCCGTAAAAGGATGCCAGGGTCTTCTAGGGGATCGTCTCAAAATGGACTAAACACACAAATGAATGCTACCGTATGTCTAACACAAATAAGTCAACTGCATGGCGGGGCTTGTCACCTTAAGAATTGTGCGATTCCGTTGTTTCCCCTTAAACCTTACCGGGAGCTGCAAACAAAGAGGAAGTTTGTACTGAGAGCACACCCTGTTTGCCAATTCCAAGGATTGTCTTGAATGATTTCGAGCACCAGGGGGCATAGGCCAATGGTCGCAACTGTAACACTCAATCTAGCCACCATGGGAGCAACGGAGATTGATCCCCTCCGTGTACGTGCTCAATATTATTCGATATTCAATGAACTATTTGGCACGGTCCTCGCTGTGCATTGGTTCCTCGTACACTCCCAGAGGCTGTGCATGGTGACAGTCGTGCTACGTTGATGCTAAACTTCGGCAGCGGCCTCAAGGCAAACATGTTCAGTCCGATTGTGGTACACACATGTGAATACACTTCTGTCCATGTTCAACGCGGACATGTTGATGCGGTACAGACATGTATATGTATAGAGCGGACATGTTGATGTGGTTCAGCACAAGGGCAGTGCGGACATGTTGACTATTGCCTCGATTAAAACCGGTACTCTAGACGAAAGGGGCTGATGTTTGTAGTCTTACGTTTATTTCTTCATATTACCAGGCTAAGCGCCCACAGGTTTTGTCGATTCGAAACCACAAGGGTTAATCCCTTTTCCGTAGACTCGACTTCAGCAAACCACAAAACTCAAACAACGTGCAATAATTAGACCCCCAAAGACCTTGGACACTAGGCTCACGGATCTGAAACCCAGAACTCCTCTGCAACACTGAGTCCTAAAGCCCACAAATTCTGAGGCCCACAAGCCCGCAACAACTCAAACTTGAGTCTTGGCCTGCTCCACATAGCCATGAGTGTAGCTTGCACCTGCACAATTTGGATGCGTTGCAGGTGCGTGGGGGGAATGCAACCAAGAAAACAACGCAGCAAGGCAGTCAATCGATTTCCCTTTTTAGGGGCCTGCCATGGCAGCGTCGGAGGAGGAAAGCACCTGGCCACAGAATGCCACACTGTCCGGCTTCGCTCGCGATTGGGCTTGGCATGTTGCCCGTTGCCACAGTGGCATGAGAAACATGATGGGCTTTGGGCTTGGGACTTCAACTCAGGCATTGCGATACAGTAGGAGCATCTTGGATTTCCAAGAACGCCAGTCTACGTACATGGAGGAGCATGACAATTTTGCACTGTTCAAAGACGCTTTTCCAACAGCCTGCCACTGAAAATATTTAAACCCCAAGCACCGGCACGTCCTGTTTAATCCCAAGACAAATCTAGCCGCCGTGTTTGAAGGTATTGTCTTGAGCTGGTGGCTGTTGCCACCAAACTTGGGACAACCAGGCGCTCAGTTGTAGGGCTGATCTTCAGAATAAAGGCCGTGGCTTGGCATCCAGCGAATCTAGGGTCTGGAAAACGAAAGCAAGTCAGATGTCACGCGTGTACCCCTTGAACCACAACTTTCTGACATCGAAGTCCGCATCCCGCAGCTTCTCGTAAGCCTTTTTCGGCTCTTCGGGTTTCCCAGGAAGAAGCCGCGCAGACCCGTGTTGTCCTTGACCTTGGCATGCTTGGCAAGGTGACTTGAAGGGTCGGTCAATGTCGGAATTTGCAGGCAGCTGCGGGAAGACATGAAACGCTGACCACTCCAAACAGCAGCAGCAGCAGCAGCAAAAAGCTCCAATCAGCGTACCTCGTCCTCTGCCTCCAGTTTCCTCCTCCACAGCTTCAAGAGCTTCAAGAAATGCATCCTGAGTTTGGGAGACAACGACTAATGCGTAACACGTGTAGAAAGGCGTCAGCTGAATTCCATCAACAGCTTGATTAAGTCCAAGCCGTCAACGCTGGCATCCCCTGTGTCATATTCGACAAAATCGGCTGAATCAATTGCATAGGTCCCATGGAACCCTCGTGCCTCGATTTGAAAAAGACGTTAGCATGAGCCGTTGAGTAAGTTTCTGGTTGTACCCAATGAAACTTTGCCTCTTGCAGTGCTATGAGATAAAAGTATCCTCGGGGAGATAAGCCGTTTGTGTCTTATGGGGAATTGGCTCCGAAAGTCACCTATCCATACCAGAAACATACACTGCCATAAGGCAAGGGTCATATGCTTACTGCACCGACGAAGATCCTGCTGTGGTTCGAAATCTTTCGGGCACCTGTCAAATTTCATCAGGATTCGGGACGCTGCATGTGTGCAACCTGAATGGTTCGGGATGCGATGGAGGGTTTTGAGATTCGATCATGAAAGCATCTCTTGAAGCTCCTTGAGATTTGCTGTCTGGATGGGCATACAGCTCAACTTGCAAACTCTCTTTACTGAGTGCTCTGGAAACTTCCGCACTTCTGTGCTGTGAGTGGCAGGAATCCAAATTGACAAGGCAACACTAGGCGCAACATCTTCCAACTTAGTCTAAGCTAAGCGCCAAAGCTGAAACGATGAGGCCTGGGTGAATCACCCATGTACGTTTTGTAGTCAGGTGTCTTCTCCTCTGCGTGAATGCCATACTTGGCGAGGAACTCCTAAATCCGTGAGAATGGCTCAGGGCATTTGGGCGTAGGGCTTTGCTAATTTTTTTGGCTTGAGGAAAGTCGCTCAGGTACAGCCGGCAGATTTTGCACCCTTGTGATGAGTCACCCGAGACAGACGGGAAAATGTCTTAGAATATCTTGTACCGTGAAAAAATCAAAAGTGTTTGCCGCAAGTTGTTGCTATCCTCAATCTGTGCCGCCAGCTCATCAGGATGACTGCGAGCGTCATCATCCACTGGCGCTGTAACATCAGGGCACTGCTCCAAGTGTAACGCCACCTTCGACATGTAGATACTGGAGCATGGTGCTGGCATGGCCAAAGGCAGATGGTAAGTGCAAACAGAGCTTCCTGAATCTGCAACCCTATGGCCTGCGACTCTAAGCCGGCAATTCCCAGTCTTTGCTACATCAGAAACCCTTTGCAGCGTCGCCTTGCAATGTTCTTCGAAGTGATGGGGATGGAAGTCAGCTCCCACGCCATAAGCTCCATCCTCCGCTACAGCCTGCAATTCATCGTCAAGCTTCAATGGGTTGGGCTTCGTGCAGGGCCATTTCCTTGCAAGATCGGGCTTGGGGTTGAGGCTTCAATACTGCAAGTGCGGGATCCCATTTTCGAATCACCCAGCAGCGGACACACGAACTGCTGCAGCAAGAGGCGTTCTCAGTAGCATCTCAAGCTCGCCTTGCCTCATCCTCGCAACATCCGGCTAATTTGACCACTGGACAAAGCTGGCGACAATGACTACAAGTTGTCAAAACCATTCGCGCATAAAAGCCAGGAGTGGTGCACTGCCTAAGCGGTGCTTGCATGCACTGTTTGGGACCTAGACATAAAAGCTTCCGTGCTCTTACTCCAGAAGTGAGGCAGGACAAACCCTCAAAAGACAAAAAAGGCACCTTTAGCATCCTTCCCGCAGCACCCTGGAAGCGCGAGTCCGCAACAGCAAAGTCCGCCTCTGGGAGGGTCTTGGGATCAGGGACGCAGGGGCATCCAAGCAGCGGCTACCAAGACAATGGGAGCAATCAAAGCCCTGAAGTCGGAGAGTGGTCAATGGCTTGCCTACGTTCAAAGAGGATCTCCCGATGTCAGTTCAGCATGTTCTTTCGACAACCTGGAGCGCACGATGCTTGGTGGAAATCATGTTGAGCACGTCCAGCCAGCTTCACAAAAAATCAAAGCGAGCACAAAAGACAGCTTCTCCTTAGGTTACTACAAAGTGTGCAGCTCTAAGGGATGTCAAGATTCAGCACATTGGCCCAGAATTATGACATTTGTTTGCGAGGTACGGTATGAAGCACTCTGCGGAGTGTTCCTCTACCTGCTCCTCTGCTTTTACAGGGCGTCATGTTGGTAGCAACAACTTCGCGGGAATCTGCGGGTTAAGGCTTTGCAGTATGCTTGGCTTAGTGATAGCACATGGGCATCTACAAGACCGCTTCAATCTGACCAAAATCGAAACTCTTACCCCGGAAAGCGCACAAACCACCTATAGCGCAGTTGGCTTGAAAAGGGCAGCCAGCTGCCTTCGCTGAGACGCAGCAGAGCATGGAGTAGCCCGCCTCAACGCAGGAAGCCACATTCGAAGGTCTAACTTTTCTCATGGCGGCTGCGGCTGTACGATAGCCACAGTCCTTGCACTGTAAGTACCACCAGGACTTGCAGAGGGATAGTTGGGGGCTTGAGTCCTCAAGCTTCAAATAGTGATGCATAAGCATAGGTCTACAGCATCGTGGACAGATGAACGCCTGTGCGGCCCAGGGTCTTGATCGACCTGAACCCTGGGCAATTCAGCATGCTTTTGACACACGGTGACTGAAGGAATTTTCGGGCCTTTCCAGTTGGGAGCAGCTCAGGGGCAACCTCGCTCAGCTGCTCATCGCCCTCCAGTCAAGTGAATGTAGCCCGGGCATAGGCATTTGAGAGAGGGGCCCACAGCTTCTGCTTCAGGAGTCAAAGGCCGCTGGTGCTTGCAGCAGGGTATATTATCGAGCTTTTGGCTTATGGAAATGTTGTGTTCAGGAAGCTTCGGCTTGAGGTGAGTGGAATTAAAGGCTGCAGGGCTGTGGCTGAAGGTGTGCCATGCATGCTTTGCAGCCGCAGCTTCGTGCTGGTGGTGTTGGAGTGATGATGTAGACGGCTCTCCTTGAAGCAGTACACTTGAGCACATTTCTTGGAAAGGCCTTGTCAAGGCACTCACAACCGAGAAACCACTGAGGGTTCAACCGCGCCACACATTTCCCGCCATTAACTCCTGCATCTGCCCAAGTCGAGTGCCTGTGTGCCAATCCTCAATGAACCGCAAACCCACCCGCCTCCCAACCCGCCTCCTGATTCTGACGCAGGGCCACAGTTCGACCGGCAAGAGACAACAGTGCAATGTGCATGAACGGAGCCATGGCACCACCGATGTCGTTGTTTGCACAACTGTCGGGAAGGCTTTTGGTGCAGCTTGTTGCGCAAAGGAGTTAGCAGACGACTTGTTGGCTAGATCTTGGACCGAGTGGCAGCAGCGGGAAAGCTACAGTAGACGTACCGTAGGCCTGAAAGTTTCAGCCTGAAAGGATGCCCTCAGATTTGAGTCAGGTCTGGCGTCCTGGGTATGCCTTCAAACCTTGGCTACACGTCCCTTAAAGTGCCAGCTCCCAAAAGACACCCCACCTCCTTACTGCAACTTCTACCCGAAGCTTGGCAGCTTGGCAGCTTGGCCTTGGCCATGGCCACATTGGCGATGTCTCGGACGTCACGTCCAGGAAGGAAAGGATCCGCCAAACCGCGGCTCACTTGGCTCACTTGGCTCACAGGCCTTGCCGACACCGAGTCATCTCAGGAATTTCATTCGCATTCGCAGGCTCATGCAGTGAATACTTGAAGAAAATGGGAAATGCGAAGGGGATGTCAATTCTGGTACGGCTTGGAGTACAAGCTCTGATACTCAGGGCTCATGAGCCGACTACTTGCGCGGTTGCATGGCGCCCTCTATTTGTGCTGCAAACATACCTTATGTCCGGGCAAGCACAAACTTGTCCTCAACCACTCCCTACGATGTAAACCAAAATGATTCCGAACTCTGTCCTAAGAGTGGCGCTGAAAGCTCAGACCAGGTCCTCAAGAACAAGCTCAAGCTGCCCAAGTCCCAGTTGCTTCTGTGGGGTGGGGCATTGAATGAGTAAAACGGTGGCAGACTATAAAAAAGCCTCTTTGCAGAACACCAACATAGGCTGCGCACTCCAAACTTGTCATCGCGCACCTCATCAGCAGCGATGAGGGGCGCTCATTTGAAGGCACCACGGAGCCCTCAGCCTTTGTGGCAGGTGGCAGGTGCAATACTACCCAGAACCAGCAGATGGGTACCAATCGGGAACCTGAGACTTGCGCGACTAGGCCATCAAGGGAACCAAGCAAATGGAAGAGATGCGCGCAGAAGGTCCGTACACAGCAACGCCTCCAGTGTATGCACAAAGAAAGAAGACGACTACAGTTCCCTCGAAAGATGACACAACAGCGGAGCAACGGATCAGTACTGTTACAGTCTCGGGCGATTGTGCGCGTGCCCGCACGGATATTTCCTCCGGCTGATGCTGATTCAGTGATGGCAGCAACACGTGCATGCTCGGCTGCTGCACGAAAAACTATGTTTCCGAGCACTGCAGAATTCAACAGTTTAAGATGTTGTTCTGATGCGGGCACCAAATGCCAATCTACATGAGACCTGCTCTTGCGTGTGGTTGCATTTTTTGAATTGGCACGGCAGCTTACACAGTCTACGTCCACCATGTTGGTGACTGCTCACAAGTGTCTCTCACGATCTCTCACGCAGCTCCCTGACATATAAAGAGTGGAGACGCGGAGTTCAACATGCCCTTTAGGATCAAGCCTCCACAAGGTTGCCAGTCTCGGCGAGCTCCTGTGCTCCACGGTGCTTTGCGAGGTGTGCTTTGTATGACGCCTGCAGGGTTATAGTGAGTGATGAAAATCATCAAGCACACAGAGAACCTCTTCAGGATGAACTTCAAACGACCAAGCATTGACGCAAAAAGAACACCCAATCCTCCTGAGCCGCAGATCTGCAAAGAAGGCTCCCCAACCATCTCTCCGACAACCAGCTAAACTGAAGACTCAAAGCCTGAAGCCTTGGCATAAATCACCAAGGGCTCCTCTCGCGTGATGCGGCGCTCACCGATGACCCGGTGTTCCTGAGCTTCTACGACACGAGCAGCACTAGCATTGTAGTTCCAGGGCTCAGACAAGAAAAAAACAAAAGGAAGCTCGAGGTGAGCCCCAAAAGAGCACAGAAGCCTTCTTTGGAGTTGTGTTGGAATGGCGAGGTTCCCCTTGGTGCCGAGGCAAGTCTGCGAAGCCCGCCTGGGGAAAGGGAAGAATCTCCTGCTTGCCTGAAAGATGCCTTACCCTTACGGCCCTTACGGGTTTGGGACAGTCTGGGACGGTTTGGTTTTTTTTCGGGCTTGGATTTCATTAGGGCTTCAGGCTTTGCCGCCGTCTCTCGATGTCGACACTCCTGAGAATCCTGGATGGCGGCTTCGGTCAGCTCCAAACTCAGAGTGTTTGCAGAAAGTAGGTTTTGGCTTCCGTTGGGTTTCACAGAGCTTTCTTTTCATGCTGTCAGCGACTGTACGATTTGCGCTCGTGTTCTCTGGGGAAGGGATGCGTCTTACGATCTGCATGCGCGCCGCTGATCATCTGAAAAAACCGTGCTGTCGTAGGCTGGCCAAGAAAGCTTTTTGGTCAGAGTAAGAAACGTTGTGATGCTACCCAGAATGCTCGGGATCATTTCCTGCACAAGACTTCTGCAACTTCAAGAAAGTCTGAGTGCCACCCCGAACATGAGCTTGTCCTCGTGCGAGAAGTTCATCTTCAAATTGTTCCAATTCACCAGGCAATCAAAGTCTCAAGGAATCACTGCGAACTGACTTGGATTTCAGGACACAACCCCACAAGCACCTGCAAGATGTTATTCAGAGACACCCTAGGCTGTCAAACCGCCTGCGCATTGGGCATGTAGCCGGTGCTCGTGGAGTAGAGTGGCGCTGCCTTATTCTGTCCATGCCCGCAACCCAAAAAAGCAGTTGCCGAGATTAACACTTGAATCCTAATCTGTGCAGGTGCGTTGCTTCGGATCTCCTTTGCAAGCTACCTGCAGAAATGGCTAATGAATCTCTGAAGCTTCTTTGCTGCTATACTGGGATGGCGTGGTTCTCGGTCTTTGGGGAACTGTTTGAGAGGCATGGCTTACGTCAAGCAAGGTGTGCGAATTCCCAGGTTTAGAGACATCGCTCTGAAGTCAAAAAAAAAAAAAAGGGCACAACAAGCGCATCAATACATGGATTATGGGCCACAAACCATCAACTTACTCAAACTGCAAGTCACCCCATTTCCCCCGACCCCAATGCAGCAGACTGCACGGGCCAAGATGCGGATCGCATCGGTGACACAGCCGACCTTGGCGGGCTCAGACCCCGAGCAGGGGAGACGGCACGGAGCCCGCTGATCACAGCAGCAGCCTTGCAGCGGCTGGTGTCAGGGCCGAAGTATTGGCCTAAAAGCGATGGCTGCGCACGAGTCGACCGTGGACCGTAGTGCTCCTGGTCCCTACAGGTGTGCTATTCCTGAAACACTCCAAGATCTGGAGGTCAGATACCCCTGAGCACAGGCATTGAGGAATATGGACAAGATCTTGCCTGCATTGGCATGGCCTGCATCACTGGGTGCGGCTGCGGCTGGCCCATTTGGACAACGGGCTGCCCCATCGGGTGGCCCATTGGCTGTGGACCAGGCCTAGTGCCACATGTTTGAAGGGGCCCTGAAATTGCAAGAAGGCCGCCGGAGGAATGCTGCCAAGCGGCTGCATTATGGTCATAGGTGGTGCTGCTGGCATGGGCTGTGCCATAGGCTGCGCCATCGGCTGCGCCTTAGATCTCAAATGTTGCAGACCCTGGAGGCCACTGATCAAGCGGCCACCGCAAAAAATCCCTCAAGAATCGGGAAGCAGTGCTTAGGGCCCGTTGCACCAAAGTTCTGTTGATGTTTGACAGAGCGCAACATAGAAACTGTAGAGCCTCGAAATCTTAAAAGATGATGGTTACTAGGCTTGGAGAAGTTCTGTGAAGAGGGTTTTTTGGAAGCCGTAATTCCCAAGAAAAGAGCAACACCGCGTCAAGCCACCTCTAGCTTTCCTTTCCCATCGAAGACTCACCTCAACCTTCTCCGACGCAACAGAAACATTCGGAAATCTCTCAGCTGCTCTAAAAATCTGCCAGGCACCATGGGCATCCCCATTGCCATGGCCATCTGTGGCGCAGGCATCGGCCTCCTAAGCTACGTGCTGAAGAGAACCCACATTGCCCTAGAATTGCTCTCAGATCTTCTGAACATCTTGCAACTGCAACTGGCCCTTCGGCGTTTATCTCCAAGGTTTGCCAAGCCCAGCGGCATCGGCATGGCCCCCGGAGGCCCCTGAAGGGAGAGAGAAAATTGAGAACAGATTCACACACTTCAAGCACATTCAATGGTTCTTTGCAGAGGTCTACCGTAGGGGGCCGGAGGCCTCCATCCTGACATGCTCTAAACCCAACGAATGGCTGATTCTTTCCCAAGCTGGGGCCACACAACAGTTTACAATACCAAGCTGCCGGTTCATGTTTCCGGGAGATAGTGATGGAGGGTTGGTCTTGACTGCTCTTTGGGTGCGGCACGATCAGCAAGCGGAATCTGCTTTGGCAGTTTAGGGCGAAAGACGCCAAACCATACCATGGCATTACAGAGAGAGCACCAGCTTCCCATAGCCCACCACAGAGAAATCCCGAAAGGGGAAAAGGATTTGAGCCTCAGCAAGCCTACTCTCAGTCCCCTTGGTCTGCAGCCCGGACTAATCTGGCATTGACAATAGCCGTCCTGCAGGTAGACCGGCGCTGCAACCGGAGGTGCCAGGGGAACAGCCTGCAAATTTCTGAGAAGTAAAAGTAACGAGGTTCAAACTTCTTCGTGTACATATTCCATTTGGATCCTGTCATTCGTCTCACTGGTCACCATGCCTCTGTGAGAGCAACCGGGAGAAGAATGAGGTATTAGATGGTGCTCTCAGCATTCTGACAGGTGAGCAGTCTCACGCTAAGCTGGGACAGAAACTCGAGCGGGCTAGCCACAGGTACATAACGGTGGGCAGCTCCTGTGTCTGTGCCTGAAACCCTCGGCTCGTAATCCTTCATCCCAAAGCTGCGAGAAGCCTAAATATCATTAAATATCAATGTCTTTTCGCAAGACCTGCACAGCTCTACATCTTTCCGATTTCATCCGCTGGGAGCTTGATACCTCAATCCAGAGCCCAAATCTGGAACAGCCTGAAATGGAATAAAGAAAAAGAAATAAGAACTTGCCTGAG